GTTTTATGGACTGAAGAGATGAAAGTGATTCTAGACGTACCAGATGGATGGGCCCATGGCTGGATCAGTAATAGGCACAGAGCTCTACTTCGACTTAACAAGGTGAAGGTACTGGTATGGGCTGGTGGTATTATTAAAGATGAGCTAGTTGGACCTTTTCCGGTTGAAGATGGATGCAAAATCAACTCCCAAACCTACTGCTAGTTTTTAGAAGACCCTTTCTTCAAGCAGTGGTACAGGAAATAGTCTGCGTCTTTCAAGAAGACCATGATATTTATGCAGGACAATGCTCGATCGCATGCATCAAAGTATTCCACTGGTGGCTAGCCAGTAAAGGCCTTAAAGATGAAAGAATAATGACATGGCCCCCTTCCTCACCTGACCTAAACCCTATTGAGAACTTGTGGGCCCTTCTTAAATGGGAGATTTATGGTGAAGGAAAACAGTACACGTCTGAACAGTGTCTGGGAGGCTGTGGTTGCTGCTGTGCAAAAAATTGACCATCAACAGCTCCAGAAACTGACAGACTCCATGAATAGAAGGCTTATGACTGTTTGTTTATTTTTTTAAATGTCTGAAATGTTTATTTGTAAATTTTGAGTTGTCTGTTTATTATTCTCACTTTGACAGATGAAAATAAACGAGTGAGATAGGAAAAGTTTCATGTAATTGCAAAATAATTCTGCACACTCATAGTTGCCCAATAATTATGCACACATAGATATTCTTCTAAGAAAGTCAAAACCTCATTTTTACTTTCTTAAATATTCAGGTTTGAGGTTTATTAATATGGCCAAGAGCACTGTAGTTGTTCAAATAATGAAATGAATCCTCAGAAATATAACTTGCTTAATAATTGTGCACAGTGTGTTTTCTGAATGCAGACAACATATAGAATAAAATAGTGGTAGTTCAAATTTTTTCTGCCACAAGATATTACTGCAAAGGTCTAGGAAATGCAAAATCTCAGTAAAAAAATACACTAAAGTTAATTTTAGGGCACACAAAATCAATAAATTGCCCAACTTTTTAGTAAAAAATAAAAGATGAGGTTGCACCGAGTAAATGGATACCCAACATGTCAAACCTTAATTCTGTGCCCGTCAAATGTCAACAAACTTCAGTATCCTATATAGTAACCCCTTATAGGTCATCAGTTTAGCCTTACAGAGGTGGTCTGGTGCTAGAAATATTGCTCTCACTCCGGCGTACGCAGCGATACGTGGCATATTTATCAAAATCAACCTTTTCATACGTAGGTGCCCCTGCACTTATATTCTGTGATTGGAAAAGGTGGAGCTCATGACATCATCACCCAGCTTTTTCCAGAAATAGTATACTTTGCAGTAGTGGTGCTTGCTGCAGTGATTTCACCTTCCACAGGGATCGACCAGGTGTGACATATGCATACTTACAAACAGCATGACATCTTCTTGGTCCCATCAATCAGGGATGCAAACTGACCAAACTAGTATGGGTCTGCTTCCATGATTAGAGCGATCAGCAACAAATAGGAAGAGTATCTTCATCAAGGGCAGGTTGGCCAGGTATTTGCTATGCCTTGGACTTCTTATCTAAGTAAAATAAATAAATACAGTACCTTGAAAAAGTATTCATACCCCTTGAAATTTTCCACATTTTGTTATGTTACAAACAAAAACGTAAATGTATTTTATTGGGATTTTATGTGATAGACCAACACAAAGTGGCACATAATTGTGAAGTGGAAGGAAAATGATAAATGGTTTTCAAAATGTTTTACAGTTAAATATCTACAAAGTGTGGTGTGCATTTGTATTCAACCCCCCTGAGTCAATATTTTGTAGAACCACCTTTCTCTGCAATTACAGCTGCAAGTCTTTTTTGGGGTATGACTACCAGCTTTGCACATCTAGAGAGTGAAATGTTTGCCCATTCTTCTTTGCAAAATAGTTCAAGTTCTTTCAGATTGGATGGAGAGCATCTGTGAACAGTAATTTTCAAGTCTTGCCACAGATTTTCAATTGGATTTAGGTTGTGACTTTGACTGGGCCATTCTAACATATGAATATGCTTTGATCTAAACCATTCCATTGTAGCTGTGGGTGTATGTTTAGGGTCATTGTCCTGCCAGAAGGTAAACCTCCACCCCAGTCTGAAGTCTTTTGCAGACTCTAGCAGGTCGTCTTGTAAGATTGCCCTGTATTTGGCTTCATCCATCTTCCCATCAACTCTGACCAGCTTCCCTGTCCCTACTGAAGAGAAGCATCCCCACATGATGCTGCCACCACCATGTTTCATGGTGAGGATAGTGTTTTCAGGGTGTGATGTGCAGTGTTAGTTTTCTGCCGCACGTAGTGTTTTGCTTTTAGGCCAAAAAGTTCAATTTTGTTCTCATCTGACCAGAGTACCTTCTTCCACATGTTTACTTTGTCCCCCACATGGCTTTTTGCAAACTGCAAAGGAGACTTCTTCTGGCTTTCTTTCAACAATGGCTTTCTTCTTGCCATTCTTCCATAAAGGCCAGATTTGTGGAGTGTACGACTAATAGTTGTCCTGTGGACAGATTCCCAAACCTGAACTGTGGATCTCTGCAGCTTCTCCAGAGTTACCATGGGCCTCTTGGCTGCTTTTCTGATTAATGCTCTCCTTGCCCAGTCTGTTAGTTTAGGTGGACGCCATGTCTTGGTAGGTTTGCAGTTGTGCCATACTCTTTCCATTTTCGGATGATGGATTGAACAGTGCTCTGAGAGATGTTCAAAGCTTGGGATATATTTTTATAACCTAACCCGGCTTTAAACTTCTCCACAACTTTATCCCTGATCTGTCTGGTGTGTTCCTTGGTCTTCCTGATGCTGTTTGTTCAGTGTTTTCTAAGAAACCTCTGAGGGCTTCACAGAACATCTGTATTTATACTGAGATTACAATACACACAGGTGGACTCTATTTACTAATTAGGTGACTTCTGAAGGCAATTGGTTCCACTTGTTTTTTAGTTGGAGGTGTCAGAGTAAAGTGGGCTGAATGCAAATGCACCCCACACTTTTCAGGTATTTATTTGTAAAACATTTTGAAAACCATTTATCATGTTCCTTCCACTTCACAATTATGTGCCACTTGTGTTGGTCTATCACATAAAATCCCATTAAAATAAATTTATGTTTTTGGTTATAACATGACAAAATGTGGAAAATTTCAAGGGGTATGAATACTTTTTCAAGGCACTGCATATTGAGCATGTGTAAATAATCCTCAAATTTAAAAAATTTAGGTTAAATAATAATTCAAGACATATTTTATCATGTTACAACCAAAACCAGTCCAGTGATTTCCTCTTGCTTTTGGGTGTAGTGCTGAGTGGTCAACCTGATGCATTGTAATCACAGGAGGTCGCCCACTCTGCACGGGCACGATTCAGAGAATGCATTTTCTCAATGAATACAAAGCTTTCTCTGACTGGATAAGGTGGAGAGGTATGGTGGTCATGTTGTGAGTAGGTTGATATCTTGGTAGATATCATGACTGCTGTGGGAATATTCAAGAAGAATCAGGTGGGGTAGAGGAATCCCAGCACCTCGATGGCACTAAAGTCTGAGGTCTTCAAATATGCACATTTTAGGCTCACTAGTAGAGTTGATGCTGTTTTTACTGCTCCATAGAAGTAACCATTTAGATTTCAGCTTACTGTACTCTAATTGCCAATAAATGCCTGGAACAGTTACTATGTGTAAGAACTTTACATATTGCAGCTCGTCTTCTTTAAGAGAATGATCTTTTCTGTTATGATTGTAATGTTTTATCTGAAAGGGTTTTCTTTTAGTTTTTTTTTAATACAGTACATAGATTTGTTTTTTATTCCTTTAATTGGCTGTGTGTATATCTGGCAGCGTATTTAGCATTTCTCTGTAGAACAGCTTCAGGTGAGTCTTCAAGATAAGACATGTAGCGTATATATCTTTTTAAAGCGGTTCTCCAGTCACTTTTTAAATTAAAAATACTGTAGCTGCTGACTTTTAATAATAAGTCACTTACCTGTCCAGGGATCCAGCTCTGTACTCACTCTGGCCGGTTCTTCCCAAGTCCTTGGGACCCCACTGCCGCTATGCTGCACTGTGTGAATAGTCCTGCAGCCTCCTGGGACCTGTGACATGTTCCAGAAGGTTGCAGGGAGGGAAGGAGGGAGGTGAACTTCTGGTAGAATTGCCTAGGCAATTTCAGTGAAAGTGGGGAGCAGGTACCTTTTGTGAACTTGATAACGCCTCCCGCCCCCCCCCCCCAAAAAAAATTATGTTCCAAAAGCAGAAGAGGAGGGTGAGGAGGAAGAGGGGACCTTCTGTTTTTCAGTGAAGTTCTGCTTTAAACCTAGGTTCCCACTTCTTCAGATTTTGCAGCCCACATTTGCGCAGGGACGGCAGCCCATTCATTGGAATAGACTGCTGTGTCTGCAGTTCCCGTAGAAAAAAGGCGTATGCCTGTTTTTAAAAATATGGATTTCCCTGCGGTTCTTGTACACGTGCTGTGGGCTGAGATGCGTGTGAATACCATTAAGAATGAATGGCAGCCCCGTGCATCTCTGCAGAGCAGTGCGATTAGGCTGCAGGTGATTGCGGGTGCTGATGAGGTGCAATTTCTGCACCCGCAACCACCCCCCCTTGCATGTGGGTATGTGTGAACCTAGGCTAAAGCATCATGCACACTTTTTAAAGTGTTACTAAACCCACAACAGTAAAATCAGTCTGTATATTCAGTAAAGCATGCTTGTTATACTCACTGTGGAACCTAAGGGGTTAATCCTCTGCATTGTGTAAAAAGTCTGTTTGATCCTGTCTTCTCTGCTCCTCGTCTTGTTCAAATGTCCACGTGTTCTCTCCTGATATGACAGACTGACCCGTAGCCATTCTGCACATGCTCATTTTAGTGTGTATTGCTAATTAGGTTTTTTTTTCTCTTGGGAGAGTGCATGTAATCAGCACAGGGCCAATCAGCACTGTCCAGACAGAGGTCAGGGGTTTTGCATCCTCCTAGAGCAGAAAGAAAGAAGCTTTAACCAGTGCTCTGCTGGACACTGATAGAAGTCACAAGACTGCTGTATGAGAAAAGGTATTTAGCAGTTTATATTTACTAAAATAATTGCATTTCCATGTTCTGTGTACCGTGGGAGACCAGATGTAGTGAATGCAGGGTCCTGGGTTTAGTAACACTTTAAGCTAAAAAAAAAGAGAAAAAACGTTGGATAAAAACCGCTATTAGCATTTTTTAGTAGCGTTCATAAGTATTTGGGAGTATCGGTATTTTATTAGCGTGTTTTTACAGTACATGTAGAAGTAATAAAAAAAAAGCTGTTAAAAGCGTTTAGCATTTTTATTTTGCTGGAAAACACTCCAAAAAACTCTACAAAAACAATTTTTTTTCTGCCCCTAGACACTGAAGCTCAAGAAATGCTAATATTCTAAAGTAGTGTGCATGGACACATAGGAGGACATTATTCAGCTTCTAAGAGCAGAAAACATGCTAATAGCTTCTAGGGGCTTAAAAAAAAAACACAGTGTGCATGGAGCCTAAACGTCCTCATAGACCACAGGGCTACAGAGAACAGGCCTCTTACACATGAACTCAGCTAGTTGTTAAACCCTCCTGGCAGCAAGAAAACGTTAAACGCAGCAGAAATGCGTGTAAATGCGGTGCCCGCGTTTAGTGCTTGGATGTTTATTCGTTTGATTGGCCAGAGTATTTTCCATTGTTATGGCTAAATGCCCAAGTGCTAAATGCGGTTAGAGTAACATTACTCTCCTGAACGCGATTATTCTGCATTCAGAAGAGGAACGTTTAACTGCCCCTAAACTCTGGTAAATGCCTATGTGTACATGGACACATAGATTTTTATTGAGTTGAGTTCAGGGGCTTTGGCAAAATAATGCCAAAAGCTCCTAAACTCAGTTTAGGAGCAGCAGTGACATGAGGCCTTAGGCAGAGCAGAGTCAGCGCATGCTGAAGCGCACAGTGCAAAGAAGAAGTTGTCAACTGTTTGCAGTCTGGCAATCCGATGGGCATGTCTGGGTTTGGCGGTTGTCAGGAGAACGGTACTTGCCTGACTGCATTGTGCCAAGTGTAAAGTTTGGTGGAGGGGGGATTATGCTGTGAGGTTGTTTTTCAGGGGTTGCGCTTGGCCCCTTAGTTCCAATGAAGGGAACTCTTAAGGCGTCAACATAGCAAGACATTTTGGACAATTTCATTCACCCAACTTTGTGGGGGAACAGTTTGGGGATGCCCCTTCCTGTTCCAACATGACTGCTCACCAGTGCACAAAGCAAGGTCCATAAAGACATGGATGAGCGAGTTTGGGGTGGAGGAACTTGACTGACTTGCACCTCAACCCGATAGAACACCTTTGGGATGAATTAGAGCGGAGACTGGGAGCCAGGCCTTCTCGTCCGACATCAGTGCCTGACCTCACAAATGTGCTTCTAGAAGAATGGTGAATTATTCCCATAGACACACTCCTAAACCTTGTGGACAGCCTTCCCAGAAAAGTTGAAGCTGTTATAGCTGCAAAGGCTGGGCCAACTCAATATTGAACCCTACAGAGTAAGACTGGGATGCCATTAAAGTTCATGTGTGTGTAAAGGCAGGCAGCCCAATACTTTTGGCAATATAGTGTACATACAAAGGGGAATTTTAAATTGTTAAAGTGCAAATGCAGCCCAAATTTTCTGAATTTGTTTTTGAAAAGTGGGGAAAGATTTGCTATTTTTTCCATGGTAGAGACTCTCTAGTAACAGGATTGTTAAAGAGCAGGGAGCATCTGCTGTACAATATCACTGCTCCCTGACCTACCAGCCACATGTTGTTCTTTCGCTGCTCCCTGATTGCGCAGCATATCTGCCAGTGATGGAGAGATGTTGTAGGTGCAGGTGAGTGTGCTCTTCAGTGATGGTGTTATTACTAAGTTACTCTCAGCAACGTAATCACAAATGTGACACGGCTCTAGTGTTTTTATTGTGGTGTCCCCATTTCTCCTCTCTTCTTTATTGTGGTCACCAGGACAGGAAGTCAGGGAAATGTCCCCAACAGTAATAAGGCTTGGTTGGAGTGAGGCTATAACATACATTGAGAACATTTACTGTATTTTTCATAGTGCATCTGTGGTCAAAACTTCTTAAAATCATCATATATTAATTTCCACATTGAATGTCAATTATTTCTAGCATGCTCATTAATCTGAACAAATTTGAAGTTGAAAACATATTTTTTGAAGATCCCCAAACATTCTCTTGTGAATTGCTTGTGTTGCACATTTCACAGAACCTGCCTTCTGAATTACAGAGGCGCTGAGAGGAGGAGTTTCAGGAGGTGAAGTCAGTACTGGAATCACTGCTTGCGGGCAGCAAGGTACCATGGGGTGTGTAGTTCTTAGAAATGGAAAGTAAACCGCAAAGGAGAAGCTGCAAAGCATGCAGGGAATCCAGGAAAATGTGGAAAGAGATGGCCAGCACACAGGCAGAACTCCTGAAATAAAAGGAGGAAACTTTTCTTGTAAGCTTTGATTGGATTGTCAGATATTTTCTTTATACTGCTATTACAATGCTAAAGCAAAGTGTTGTGTCCAAAGATTCCAGGAGAGAATGTCTGTCTTTTTTGACAGTCCTTCTTAGCAATGTAGCATGTAATGGATGTCAAAGACAAGGGCCTTGCTATTAAAATGTTGAAAGTGTATGCTGTAACTATAGATCTTTTGAGCTGATCACATGTAATAAGCTTTGAAAGAACTGTAGGTACACATTAGAGCTCCCATGCAGATTGATGATATTAGAAGTCTGTACTGATCTTTTTCTCAGGATGCATGCTTTGCATATGACACATGTGAGTGCTTTAAATTTTCTTTTTAAGAATTCTCTACACCTGCACTTCATTCGTGTCTGGAAGCAATCATCAATGGAAATAGGAAGACTTATCAGCAGGAATCTAGTGTCATTAAAGTATTTATGATCTTCCTTTCCCCCCTGCTCAATGTGAGTATTAAAGTTGTCAATCATATGTCAGGGGGAAAAAAAGTAAACTTTCCCCAGAGAAGGGAGCCTGGGTCAGCACAGCTGTAACTGATGTTCCTGTGTACACATCATCTATACAAAAGAGACAAATCACAGTTTCTTGTTCCACGACTCTGTCTTTTAAAATATATATCTAAACCCAAGAACAAAAATCGAGTCTATTGCAGTTTACCAGATCTTCGTAGTAGCTACATTAGATTACTTCTAGAACATTTTAATTGTGTACAAAAAATACCTGTTAAACCTGCCAGAAACCCAGTGTTCTTGTGACTTCCTGTGTACTAAACTGAAATCTAACTATGTTATTAGCTTTCCTTGCTATCTTCTATGAACTACAAAACAACACACCCTGTATAATGGTGAGGCAGAGAGGTGGTGTTTGTAGTCCAGATCAACAGCAGCCTAGGGTGACAATGCTGCTTCTTCCTAGATACAGTATGATGAGTGATCGTTGTCAGCCTTGGATGGGAATTGTTTTACTGGCTGGATCACCAAGTGAAAATAAAGGAACAGAAGCCTGGAAAACAGAACTAACACATCTAAGGACTGGTAATCTGCAGTGCGATATATTATATTTTTGTTTTTAGGAATGACATACTTTAACCCTATGTCATGTGTCGGCAGTAGTGAGGGGGATTTAGCATCCCTGGTATGTTCTCCCCATCCCCAAGTGAGGTGTATTCTGTCATTTTCTCTCCCAGGGGACCAAGTTTACTCAGTTCAATTGAGGATCATGCAGCAGAGGGTGACAATACAGCATCTAAAACGAAGTCCTAGTTCACACTAAAACATGGTGTGGGAAACCCACGATCCGTGTTTGGTTCCTGAATCAAGTTCAAAATGCACTGCCCTTGCATTCTGCAGTGGGTGTCAGTGCAATGTTAATGACACTCTAAACGCAGTTTACAAACGCAGTGCTTTTGCTTGCACTGGATTGCATGGTACAAAACTATCATGCAATTCATTTGCAGTACCTTTCCAAAAGTAGTGCATGCATTACTTTGGTGCGATGTGGTGCAATCGGAGCCTATTGAAAATGAATGGGTGCAAATCCTACTGCGCTGAATGGCATGTGAATTACACAGGAATGTGTTGAGCATTCCTGTGCAATTCATGGTGTGAACCTAAGCAAGGAAAATTCATAATGTCAGATTCACTGCTTTATAATTATACCCCTTTTTTTGGGAGGGGAAGTTCCGTTCTATCTTAACTATAGAAATGTTTTTGTTTAGCCCAGAATTGCACACCATATATTGAATGTAAAACGAAGTGGCTTGAATTCAAGCTCCCACCTTCCTTTACTGTGTGTTTATAGTAATGGCAGCCTGCACGTTACCACAAGCTTTCCATAATTTTTTTTCCTTCATTAGACTTCAGAATATAATTGGCATATGTTATCTCTGTGAAGGTTCTGTGCTTTTGTGACAGGTGAGGGATTATCCTATTAGAAGTAATTGCTTGCAGGCTCGACAGGAAGTTTCTGTATAGACAGACTATCACTTTGTACAGAACTCCAGTATCAGCTGGGTCTTGCAAGGTTTTATTTGGCTTTAGCATTTTGTTTCCAGCCTAAAGCTAAAGTTTAGTTTGTATTTTTGAGGGTATATAGCACCAGATATATTCACCTGTTCAGAAAAAAATTAAAAGCTGAACTTCGTACACCCTCCACACTACACCCATCACCCCCCCAGTCCCCACTGTACTTACCTCCTGGGGTGCTGAGCTGTCAGTGCTCATGCAGCTGGTGCAGTGGTTCTAGGAATTGAAATCTTCACTCTTCTGTGTTCAGTGCTTCTGTCCACTGACCAATCAGAATCACACAGAATCAAGTCCCTGCATTGGTTGCATGGCACTGACAGCTCAGCATCTCCAGAGGTAAGCACAACGGGGGGGGGGGATGTGCTGTGTTAATCTTTTTGTTTTTTCTGAAAAGGTGAGCTAACATTTTAAGTGTTACCTTCATTTAAATTCAGGCAGTTTCTTCTACTAAGAATCTTTCATTCGGTGCCTTTCATAGCAGCTGGATACTGTCTTGAACATCTGTAAGTCTCTGTGAAGGTTAACAGCAGCCACTGCTACTGTGGAAAGTTGCACCACTCTCTTGCCCTTTTCGCTTTCTCTGCTATTCACAGATCAT